CGTACTTACTACTACTAGTAACTACTACCAGTAACTTACCAGTAACTAGTACTGCTATTAATACGAGTTATTATTTCTAGTACCTACTACTGTTATTACTAGTAACTAGTACTAATACTTACGAGTACTACTAGCAAGTAGTAATACCAGTAACGAGTACTTGTAATTACTATTACTACTACTACTATTATTACTACTACTACTACTACTACTACGACGAGTACCACTGCTACTACTACTACTACTACTACTACTACTACGAGGACTACTAGTCCTCTCAGTACTACTACTAGTACCACTACTACCACCAGGTACTACTAGCAGTAACTATTATGATTTGTAGTAGTGGCAGTAGTAGTAGTAGTAGTATTAGTAGTAGTATTTCTAGTAGTAGTAGTAGTAGTAGTAGTAGTAGTAGTAGTCGTAGTAGTCGTAGTAGTCGTAGTAGTCGTAGTAGTAGTAGTCGTCGTAGTAGTTTCGGCCTCTTCGTCGGGGGCCCCGAGACTTTCGCCGAGCACAGGGCCAGCGCGAGCGCGGTCGTCGTCGACGCCGCCGCGCTCCGGCTCAAGCTGGGGGGCGATTTGCAGGCGCGCGTCCACGAGAGCGAGATCTACGCCGCAGGCGTCAAGAAACCCATCCAGAACTTCCGCCGCAAGTTCCGCGAGGCGCTCAAGGAGCAGGGCAAGGCAACCTTCGAGGCGGAGAAGGCCAAGTACTTGGCAGGGCACCCCGACCACAAGGCGCAAGTGGAGCAGGCCTACTCGAGCGCAGGAGGCCAGCACAGGCTCACCCTCATCAGCATCTCCGCGGTCGAGAACTGGTTCGACCCGAGCCGGGGGCCGAAGTCCGCCGAGAAGCGCAGCGCGCCCGTTGCCCCCCGCGCAAGGCACTGCCGAGTCAGCGACGTGAACCACGAGGAGGGCACCTGGCGGCGCGACGCCGCCTACGAGCGGGGCGACGGCGAGGCGGGGCGCTTCCGAGCAGGCGGGCCCCTAGGAGCATTGCTCAAGGGCCGGCGCAACGCTCTGCTTGGGTTCTCCGATGCGGACCGCGCGAGGGCCTTCGAGGCCATCGACGCACGGGGGCAGCCGAGAGCCTGGACGGACGAGCCGGTGGCAAGCTGGACCATCGTTTTCATCCAGCAGGAGCGCGGCCAGAGCCTCGCGTTCGCAGACTGCCCCTCGAGCCAGCGGGCCAAGACAGTGGCGCTCCGAGCGCGGCTCCAGAATGCCATCTACGCGCCCGCGGCCCCCGACGCCGCGAGCTTCCCGCGAGAGCCCGACGCCCGCGAGCGCAGCCAGCTCAATGCCGAGATCCGAGAGGTCAAGGCCGATGCGCACTGGGCCATTGAGCGAGATTGGATCCAAATCGCCAAGGACGAGCCCCAGAAGCAGTACAAGTCCCCGACGCAATGGGGGCTCTACCAGTGCCTCCACTGCGTCTCCGTGGCTCGCACCCGCTTCCGCGAGCCGAACAAGGGCGCGGCGCCGCTCCAAGGGTTGCGAGCCGACCGAATGCTCGCGGCCTTGGCCGACGGAGCAATGCGAGCTCAAGGTCGTCGCGGGCATCGGGCCGCGGAGCTGCTCCATCGAGCCTGGCCGCGGCATCGGGGACACCCTGGCGAAAGAGCGCCTCGAGGGCATCCAAAGCTGGCCCGAGGACGCGCCGCCCTTGCCCGAGTGGAGCGCCCTCGACGGCAATTGCTTCCGCAACGACGACTTGCCGAGGGATTACGAGCAGGACGAGAACCCCTGCCTCCTGGAGCTCCGAGAGCTGGCCCTCGAGCTCATCGACGAGCAGAAGGACATGTTCTAAACGCCAGAGGAGTGGATCCAGGGGATCCAGTTCCCGCGCGCCCTCGAGAACATGACCGCGCTGAAACGGACGGCTCATCGCAAGAACAGGTGGGCGCCCAAGTTCGCGGGTCAGTTCCCGGGCAAGGGCGCTCGCAAGTGGCGGCGCGAGAAGACCAAGACTGGCGGCGATGCCTCGCTCGAGCACCTCGGCGGAGGCGCGGCCAAGACGATGCTCGCCGGCAGGCCACCGAAGGCGCGCGCGAGCTTCTCCGAGAAGTTCAAGCAGGAAAAGCAAGCCGAGAAGGACGTCAAGAAGCAGGACAAGGCCAATAATAACAGAGGCCTCGAGGCTTGCGAGGGGCCCCCCTGGCGCGGCAAGGTGGCGCGCGTCGCCGAGGAGTGCGTCCGCGAGGGCAGGCGCGGCAGAGTGCGGGGCGTCTGGCGAGTCCTCGGCGCCGAGGACGAGCGCCGCCTGCGCGCCCTCGAGGTGGAGACCGCGGCGATCTTCCAGATCGAGAGCAGCGAGGCCGGCAGGGTCACGGGCGCCCGTTAGCTTCCGCCTGCTTCTGCTTGGGGCGGCGGGAGAAAGCGGACATTAGCGGAAACGGCGGAAACGACGGCGGAAGCGGCGGAAGTTGACGGGAAATCAGGCGGGCGCAGGCAGGCGGAGGCAACGAGAAGCGGCAGCAGGCGGAAGCTGACGAGCGCCTGCGACTCCCGAGCGCCACGGGTCACGATCGAGCAGGGCTACAAGTTCCCCAAGCCGCGCGAGCTCGACAGGCGCCAGACCAGACAGACTCGCCGCACCGGGCTCGCCAAGGAGTTCGCGATCATGAACTGCAAGCAGATTGTCAAGGGCGACGCCCTCGAGCTGGGCACACCGCGCGCGCTGCCGGGCGAGATCGAGGGGCGCGCGGGCGCCCCCGAGACCGTTCTGGCGGTCGAGCCCACGGCGGCCGCCGCCCGGGCTCGAGAGGGCCGGGGCGAGGACGCGCCCGCCGCCCAGCAGCCCGATGGGGCAGGGGCGCTGGGCCGAGGGGGTCGACGAGGCCCAGCACGTGCTGGCCTGCGTGCACTCCGAGGCGCCTGCGCACTACAATTCCCTCAAGGTCGGCGCTGCTACAATCGCCCCTCCTCCAAGGTGCCCCCAGCGTTTCCCGCCGGTTTGGAGCGAATCCTGGAGGCACCCTGGGCAGGGGGACTTGCGGCAACTCCCGCCAAGGTCTCGGGGATCGGCGGGGGCGTCGCGGCGGGGCGCCGCGGCGCCCCCATGCAGCCGTCCGAGAACGCCAAGCAGGCCCAAAAGGGCCACGTGCGAACTCACACCTGCACCCTGCGATTTCTGAGGGGGGAGGTGGGGTTCACTTTGCTCGGGGGCTGCCGAACGAGGTGAACCCCGCCCTCCTCTTCAGAAATCGCGGGCGGGGTCCGCGCGTGGCCCCCCCAAGGCCGCCGCGAGGATCCCCCGCGAGCTCGGCGCCATGGGCCCTGGCGAGAGTTGCCCAGCACCGAGCAACAAACAGTGCCAAGCAGACGGTTGGAGCTGCGGCTTGTGGACGAGTCGCTGGGTCGAGCGCGCTTTGCGCGAGATCCGAGGCGAGGGCCGCCAAATGCTAGTGAGCCTCAACACTATGGTCGCTCGAGGCAGCGAGTTTATCCGTAAACTCATGGAGGCCGGCGACAACGACTTGGCGACGGCCAAGGCCAAGGCCGAGCACAAGTCCACCCCCTGCAAGGGCCCCGCGGCGGCCGAGCCGAAGTGCGCCACCTTCGAGGAGGCAGGCGCCGTCGCCCAGCTTTGCACCAAGTGTCCCCTGTGCAAGGGCGGCTCCAAAGGATGCCGCGCATGCATGGGGGAGTGGTTCGAAGTCCAGCGCAAGAGAGGCTTCCCCGCCAAATCGGCCAAGGACCGCTCTTTCGCTGGCACAATGTAGGCACGAGCTTCGAGGTTTATCGAATGTGCCTTGTGCCGAGCGCCTGCTTAGACACGGGCCTCGAGATCTCTCGAGGCAGCAGTGCGCCGCGCGCTTGCCCCGCGAGCCTCGAGATCCCTCGAGTCAGCCTTTGCCGAGCGCCCAGGATTACCACCATCATCATCATCGTCATCATCGTCATCATCATCATCATCATCGTCATCCTCCTCATCCTTATCATCATTATCCCCACCCCCGGGACAATCTTTTTTATTATCCCCGCCAGAACCCTGAACTTTTTTTATCCCCGGGGCATTCTTATCGCCCGTGACCGGCTACCCAGTGCAAGTCTACATGCAAATCGACATTCAAACAGAAAGGCACAGCGAAAAGCAAACCAACATGCATTGCGGACGCGCTTCGTCGACATCGCCACATCACATCCGCACGATCGCAATCGCACCACTCACTAGACTGCGCATCGCAGGCATCGTCAGAACAACAACAACCAATGTTGCCCATTTGCTGCCCCCCCCCTCCCCCCGACCTCCTGATCACCCGCAGGGTGGTCGTATAGGTACATACATATGTACATTCATATGCATTTACATCCTTATCTGTTACTCTATTTTCTCGTTTCCCCGTTCTCTCTCTCTCTCTCTCGTTGTTTGTTTCTCTCTTCAGTCGCTCCTGTGCTTATACCCGTCTTCCCCCGCCCGGCCCCTCCTCCCCCCTAGATCCTCCTTTCTCTCCCCACGTCAAAGTCGTCCTCCCTAGCGCGGGCGCTGCGCCCCCCCTGGAACGGGCAGGAGGCCCTCCAGCCCGCCCTCCCCCCTCCTGCGCCCTGCCTTCAGACCCTTTCCCGTGCCTTCGCCGCCCCCCTCGCATCGTCCTTCCCTGTCTTCCTCATTTTTCTGTTTTCTCTTTCTCCTTGTGTTTCCTCCTCTCCATCCTCCTGTTTCCTCCGTTGTCTTCACTATCCTTCTTCGACGCCCATCCTCCCTCACCCCCCTCCTTTTCCCGTTATCTGTTTTATTTGTTCTCGTGTTTGTCCTGTTTGTCTCCCTCCTCCCTGTCATCATCATCAGCATCATCATCATCATCAGCATTATCATCATCATCTTCATCATCATCATCATCAACATCATCAGCACCATCAACATCATCATCAACACTTTGTTGCGCCTCTCCCTGCTCCTGTATCTCCCGCCGCCCTTCCTCCCCTCCACGACCCTCATCCTCCCCCCTCTCCCATCATCCTCCACCCCCCTCTCACCCCTCCTCGCGCCAGGCCGGCGTCGACCATGTGGTCGACGTGGACGCCTCTGGCTCGCTGCTGCAAGTGGCTGGCGCCAGGGTTAGCGGGTCGGGCGAGCACGAGGACTTAAGCCCCAATATGTTCCCAAGGTTTAGGGCGCAGGGAACCCTACCCCGAGTTCCAACGCGTTGAACAAAGGCTGTACGTAAGACGTGGTTTTTGTTGGTTGCAGTGTTCTGCGTTTGGGGGACATCGCCAGGCCCCGGGACTCCTTCGACAAAAACGCTAGGGATGAAAAGCCGGCCTTGCGGCAAGGGTGGGACAAAAAGAGATTAGCACAAGTTTGCTACATTTCCTACGTCCAGAGTACTGGTGGGATTGGGAAGTGTGTGTGTGTGGCAATTCAAACTATGAACATATGAGCTCAACGAGTTGAAAGTTTGCACGTTTGGCGCATGTCGCTGCACACCGCGCGCTGTACTCGGAGGCGATGTGTGGCTGAACGATGTCACTGGCACGTTGCTTCACTGTATGTGCCGTGCTGTTTTACGGGCGCAGCCCGTAATTTGATTTTCGCGAGGTAGACAGACTGAACTGAACCACCAGGCCGTTAGATGGCAGTTTTATTTCCGCGGGTGAGGATATTTCGGTGGCAGTTTTAAGCCAGCGGGTGAGGGTATTTCTGTGGCAGTTTTAAGCCAGCGGGTGAGGATATTTCGGTGGCAGTTTTAAGCCAGCGGGTGAGGATCTTTCGGTGGCAGTTTTGAGCCAGCAGTTGAGGAAATTTCGGTGTTTCAGCGGGTGAGGATATTTCGGTGGCAGTTAATTCCCGCGGGTAAGGATATTCTGATAGCAGTTTAAGCCAGCCGGTGAGGATATTTCGGTGGCAGTTTTCAGCCAGCGGGTGAGGATATTTCGGTGGCAGATTTATTTCCGCGGGTGAGGGTATTTTGGCGGCAGTTTTGAGCGGGCAGATGAGCATATTTGGGTCGCAGTTTTATTCCCGCGGATGAGGATATTTCGGTGGCAGTTCTAAGCCAGCGGGTGAGGATATTTCGGCGGGATATTTCGGTGGCAGTTTTATTTCCGCGGGTGAGGATATTTCGGTGGCAGTTTTAAGCCAGCGGGTGAGGATAGTTCGGTGGCAGTTTCATTTCCGCGGGTGAGGATATTCCGGTGGCAGTTTTAAGCTCGCGGGTGAGGATATTTCGGTGACAGTTTTAAACCAGCGGGTGAGGATATTTCGGTGGCAGTTTTCAGCCAGCGGGTGAGGATATTCCGGCGGCAGTTTTAAGCAAGCGGGTGAGGATGTTTGGGTGGCAGTTTTAAGCCAGCGGGTGAGGATATTTCGGTGGCAGTTTTAAGCCAGCGGGTGAGGATATTTCAGTGGCAGTTTTCAGCCAGCAGGTGAGGATATTTCGAAGTCAGATTTAAGCCAGCGGGTGAGGATGTTGCGGTGGCAGTTTCAAGCCAGCGGGTGACCATCACCCGCTCCGATAACACCACGATAACATGTTTTCGAGATGTGTTCGAGATGTTATCGAGGTGTTATCGAGGTGCTATCGTGTGTGATCGAGCTCGATAACGCTCGAGAGCACCTCGATACCACTCGATGACAACTCGATAGCATGAGGTGTTATCGATGTGTTATCGAGTGTTATCGAGCGGTGGCAGTGTCAAGCCAGCAGGTGAGGATATTTCGGTGGCAGTTTTATTTCAGCGGGTGAGGATATTTCGGTGGCAGTTTCAAGCCAGCAGGTGAGGATATTTCGGTGGCAGTTTTAAGCCAGCGGGTGAGGATATTTCGGAGGCGGCTTTAAGAAAGCGGGTGAGGATATTTCGGTGGCAGTTTCATTTCCGCGGGTGAAGATATTTCGGTGGCAGTTTTAAGCCAGCAGGTGAGGAAATGTGGCAGTTTTAAGCCAGCGGGTGAGGATATTTCGGTGGCAGTTTTCAGCCAGCGGGTGAGGATACTTCGGTGGCAGTTTTAAGCCTGTGGGTGAGGATATTTCGGTGGCAGTTTTACTTCCGCGGGTGAGGATATGTCGGTGGCAGTTTTAAGCCAGCGGGTGAGGATGTTTCTGTGGCTGCATTGATCCAGCGGGCGAGGATATTTCGGTGGCAGTTTTAAGCCTGCGGGTGAGGATATGTCGGTGGTAGTTTTAAGCCAGCGGGTGAGGATATGTCGGTGGTAGTTTTAAGCCCGCGGAGGAGGAGGAGAAGGAGGAGGGAGGAACAGAGAATATCTGTGCTCGGCGCGGGCATCCAGCCGCCACGCGATGCGTCATTCGCTTGGTTGGCCCAGCCGACGGCTACGCATCCAGCGCGGTGCTGCGCCCGTATATATGCTCGCCCCTTGGCGTGGGGCTGGCGGGGGGCCAAGGGGCGAGCTGTCCGGTGATTCAGTCCTCGGCGTCGGTTCGTCGTTTTCTAGCGCGGTGTCGCTTTTTGGTTGCGCAATGAGCTTCGGTTTGTTGCAGGGCATTGTTGATTCCTTTTTGGGCTTGCCCGAAGGGGATCGCACGAAGGCGGTCGCGCTCCTCGGAGCGAGCAAGCGCGAAGTCAGCCGCCCCCAGTGCAGGGGGCGGAGGCCTTCGATGGTCCCTTCCCTCCCGCCCCCGCCTCCCTCCACCTTTTCCCCTTCGTCCCCCGCCCCTGGCAGAGGGGGGAGGGGAGAAGAGGGCGGAGTTGGTGGCGGGGAGGGCAGAGAAGAGGGTCGGAGGTGGAGGGGGGAGGGAAAGGGGGGAGGAGTAGGGGGGCCTTCCGCCCCCTTCCCCCCGTCCTCCCCCAGGACTTGCCGCTGCCGCAGTGGGCCCAGGAACCGCCGCTGGACTCGGGGGGTCTCTGCGCCGTCGCCACGTCCGGCTCGGGGCCGGCGGGTTCGAAGCTCGTGGCGTACAGGCAGAGGGGTCGGAAGTCTGAGTTATCTTTCTTGGGAGATTGACTTAGCATCGGCGTTATTTTTGTCCACCATATCTGAAGAGTTTTGTTGCCTTCGGCCCAACCCGCTACAGCGCCTGGGTTGTGGACCGGAGGCCTTTTTGATGGCTCTTTGGGTCTCTTGGGAGACGTCTTGGAGGCCTGCTTGCGGCCTCTTGGGGCTCCCTCCGGCCCTTTTTGGGTCATTTTCGCAGGCCTAGAGGTTGACACCAACACCAATATCGGCGGTGTGCCTCCACCGAGGGAAGAAGATCCCGATCTCGGATCTCGGTGATGGTGGTAATATTCGGGCTGCCGAAAATACTACCACCAACACCGAAATCTAGGATCATCTTCCCCCTGTGGAGGAAACCTTTTGTGTTGGTGTTGGTGCTCATTTCCAGGCCTCCAACACTTGGGGCCTCTTGCAGGCCTCCTGGCGGTCTCGGCAGCCATTGTGGGATGGAGCTCTCGAAATGTCAGTTCGTATTCTCTCTCTTGGGCACGCCATATTGTGGGCATTTTGGGCCCCTCTTGATGGCTTGGAAGCCGTCCTGGAGCGATCTTGAAGGCTTGGGCCATTGAAAAGACCTACGACGTTTCAATGATTGGCCCCCTGTGGCTACTTCCAGAGCGTTCAAGACGGCCTTCATGACGGTTTTCGAGACGGCCGTGTGGTTGCTCCCAGAGCCTTCCAGTTCTTCCCAGGGTTCCAAGACGGGACCAAGGACCACCTTAGGTCATGTGAGAAGTCTGGAGTCACATCCCCGCTCCCGAGACCTTTGACGAAGTTGCGGAAGCCGCCCCGGGAGCGCCATGAAGCATCAGCATTCGGGCAGAGAGCATACAATGGTCAACACGGTGTGGTCGAAGGGACCTGAGGACATCCCATTCAGTGCGTACGGCACGGTGGCGATTCTCCATTACAGCAGGCTTAATCAATTCTTGACGCTTCGCGTATCCCCACCAGCCCATCCTACACCAGGCACTCGAACGAAGAGCGCCGATGATCGGCAGCTGTTCTCCTCCCCTCTTCCTCCTTCTCCTCCGCCTTCTCCTCCTCCTCCTCTCCTCCTCCTCCCTCTCCTCCTCCTCCTCCTCCTCCTCCTCCTCCTCCTCCTCCTCCTCCTCCTCCGCCTCTTCCTCCTCCCTGGTGGCGTATTGGAAGTGTCTTCGAACGTTTTGGTGGGCTCTTGGGCCTTGCGGGCGGGCGGGCGGCGCTCCGCCCGCCCGCGCGCAGAGCCCAAGAGGGGGTCCAAGACGTCTTTGGGAACAATCTTGGAGGAGATCGATCAACGAAGGGGGGTTCCCTAATTACAGCCCCCCCCTCAGGAGCCACGATCCTCGTGAGGGGTGTCGAATTTTAGCCTCCCCAGGAGTCGATCTTGGACGCTCTAACTACCCGCGGCCCCCCCTGTCCAGGTCAGTGGGGAGGGGGTAGGGGGAGGGGTAAACCCCTCCCCGAAGAGGAAGAAGGAGGGGTGGAAGAGGAAACGCTCTAAACCACCGACGCCCAGAGGGCTGGTGGGATTCAAATCCTGTGCCAAATCCGTCTCAGTCGCCCCGAGTCCCGCTGAAAGTTCCCCCATCGTTCCCACGAGGTCCTGCCATGAGTTGCATGCTGCGAAGTGCGGAACTCCCTCTTCTCGTTTGGCAGAATGATGATGCATCAACTCTTGGAGGTGGGTCCCTTTGGCGGCGTATTCGGCACCGCCTCTGGCGCGTTTTGCGAGCCAGGAAGGGGAGTGCAGCTCCGACCTTACGGATTCCGCACGGACCTCCCAAAGCGTATGTTTGTGCAGTTGTTCGAGTCTATATATTCTTCTTCGTCGTTATTCAGAGGAGGAGTATGTATCGACACCCCGATTCCGCTGCTCCTGCTAGCTCGTATACGGCGCTCGTCGCCACAGCTGCACTCGCCTCGAAATCCCGGTCAGAATGCACCCCGAGAGAAGATTGGGGAGTAGCGGTGTCGGGATGGTTTTGTTATCTTATAGGCTTACGCCACATCCGCCGACCCCTCTATAAACTACTGTGCGTCCAGGGCTGCATTCCACGAGGCTTGTCCGATTCCTGGGAGGTTCTTGAGGGCGTTTGGGGGCTCTTTTCGGGCTCCCTGGGAGCTTCTTGGGGCGTGTTGGGGGCTTCTTGAGGCAACCTGGGGGGTTCTGGGGCCGAAGGCTGGAAATGTGGGTCCGGTTTCCCCCCTTCTTTGGCGGTCTTGGGACCTTTGTTGGCCGTCTTGGAGCCGTCCTACGGGTCTTTTGGGCCGTCTTGCACGGTATGAAAGCGAAAGAGGCGAATCTGTTTTAAACATGCGTTTTCCTAAGGGAATGGGACAACTGTCATTTTTTTCTGTGCCTTTGGGAGGCCTCTTGGGGCGTTTTGGGTGCATTTTGGGCTGTCTGGATGCCATCTTGGGCGTCTTGGAACGATCATTCTACGATTCGGGGCCCTCTTGGATCGTCTTGGGGCTCACTTGGGGCCCTCTTGGCCCGTTTTGGGGCCCTCTATGCTCCCATGACGCGTTCGTCAAATCTCCGGTTTGGGGATTTTTTGGGGGGATTATGGGGGGGAACAAGCTCACACGCCTAGAGGCCTAGAAGGGGTCGGCGGATTTCGGATTTAATGGTGTTGGCATGGTTTTGTTATTTCGATCACAAGTTCTTCAGTTATGGATTCACCATCATCGTTACCATCATCATCATCATCATCATCATCATCATCATCATCATCATCATCATCATCATCATCATCATCATCACCATCACCATCACCATCACCATCACCATCACCATCACCATCACCATCACCATCACCATCATCAGCAGCAGCAGTAGCATCATCATCATCCGTAACCATTTTGGATCAATGTCGAAACGTGTGTTCATAGCGTTTCGACCTTGGTCGCAGCCGACTTGGAGCTCGAGCCGCGGGCATAGCTGCCCGACTGTTCCGTTTTCTTGCCGATCTCTTCCGCCCCGATCTTTTTCGCGGCACGGACATCGTGCCGGCGTCGTTGGCGGCACGCGATTGCCAAGTACAGTCATGGCCACGGAAGGTGCATCTCTGGCGACCCCAGTGCCAGCAGACTTGGCCAGCATTTTGGGCCAGTTCAGCGCGAGCATGACCGTTGTTGCTTCAGATATGTCTAATATGGAGACGCAAATGACCGAGGTGGCGACGTGTGCAAAATGGTGCACGACGTTAGGGACAAGGATGGGAACCATGGGGAAAGCTTCGAATGATTTGTCAAGATAGAGCATATGGTCAACGACATACATGGAAACAACATACGAAATGTGTCTCGGACGATGTCGAAGGGTGTGGGCAAGGTCGGCCCCTTTCCAGGTCATTAAGTCGTTCGTCAATCGGAGGCCAGTCCTTCATATATAGTCCAGGGCTTGGGCCCCCTCCCCTCCCCCCCAATGCTGATGCAATTGGGCCCCCCCGCCCCCCCGCGCGATGGTCCCCCCCGCCCCCCCCTGTGGGCGTGGCGTGGTGCTGCGCTGCGGTGCCCCCCTCCCCCCCCTGTGGATGTGGTGTGGTGCTGTGGTGGTTCAGAGGTGGGCGTGGCGTGGTGCTGCGCTGCGGTGCCCCCCCCCCCCCTGTGGATGTGGTGTGGTGCTGTGGTGGTTCAGAGGTCGTCGTCGTCGTCGTCGTCGTCCTCCTCGTCGTCCTCGTCGTCCTCGTCGTCGTCGTCGTCGTCATCGCCGTCGTCGCCGTCGTCATCGTCGTCATCGTCGTCGTCGCCGCCGCCGCAGCCGTCGTCGTCGTCGTGGTCGTCGTCGTCGTCGTCGTCGTCGTCGTCGTCGCCGTCGTCGTAGTCGTCGCCGTCGTCGTCGTCGTCGTCGTCGTCGTCGTCGTCTCTGGGACCATACCATCTGGGGGGGGGGGCGAGGAGTCCTGGGACCATACCGTATGGGGGGGAGGGGGGGAGGGGCCGTGGGCCCGGAGCCCGGGATCATATATCCGTACCCATGTTGCAGTCATTTCGTGTGCACCAGCTTCAGTCGGATCGGGCGGCTCTGATGACGGCAGACGTGTGGCGCCACGGCTGGACCTTCCCCGCAATGATCGGCGTATTTGATTTCGTGGTTGCCCCCGCGTGATGGTTGCGTTTTTTTCTTTTCTGGCAACGCTCTGCCCACGTGTGCATTGCGCACGCTATCGGCAAGATTGAGTGCAAACCCACGACGGGCAAGTTCACGTACCCAATCATGTTCGTGACGGCAGAGGTTGCCAGGGCATTCGTGAACGAAACTCGTGGGACGCCCCCTTGCTGCGTGGACCGCAAATCTGGGACGATGATGCACGCCCTGCGCGTCGGTAGCGACCAGCCACTTTCCATGCTATTGCTGAGAACTGCACTGTCACAGTCCTGGGCCGTCGCAACGAGTTATTGAAGGAACTCAAGGAATGTGTTCTCCTCGTTGGTGGCGACGAGTACATGCAGTTAGTGGGTTTGGTTGGCGTTCGTGGCGGGCTTTCGGGCACCTTCCTGGTCGAGCCTGTCGCAAGCATCCTGGCGGGCCTTGAGATCCCAAAGAGCAAGATCGCGAACTTCGGAGCGAAGGCGGAAGTGGATAACGCGACGTAGGGAACTGCTTGTCAATCCCGAGTCATGGAGCACGAGAAATTGTTTGCATTTTGGGAGCTCTTGCCTGAATCATGTTTGCCGAGAGTCTGACTTAAACCAGCTCAACCGCGTTTCTGTTTCAGGCAGTTCCACCTCCTTCGCTGCTTTCTCCCTTCTCCCTCTGCTCCTCTGGATTGGCGCGCTCCAGCAGCAATTGCGACGCCTCTTGGGCTCTGCGCGCATTGCACTGCCCGCGCTGTGGCGCATTTGTTGGCAAGCATGCCCGTCGGCGCCCGCGCCCTGCGACAGTTGCTGCGCTGTTCTCTAAGTATCGCGTCGCTATCTTGCCGGGGCGCCGCTGCGCCCGCGGGGACTTCGTTGGCCCCCGCGGGGGCCGCCCGAG